TTTATATATTATCATATAATTCAAAATAATCAATATATTATATCAAATTAATATACGAATTAGTATATAAAATTTAACAACAATGTTAGTGTTATATTTTAAAAAAATATATATATTTGTAAAGACTTCAACTCTATAGGTGTTTATGCGCATTACAATGTCAACTCAAATATAAATTTCAGTTTCATTTAAAAAAAACTAAAGATTATTTTGTAAATAATTAAAAGTGATAAATTGTAGTGATAAAAGCAAAAACTAAATTATAATCTCAATTTTAACTAAAATATTTCTTAAATATATTTTTATAATCGTTAAAAGTTCCCAAATAAGTAGCTTAAAATAACTTACAATAACAATAGTTAAAAACAACTCTATATAAATGATTATATTGTTAGCTTTAAAATAAAAAAACAATGTTTGATGTTTTAAATAATTATAATGATAGAAATTAAAACATTAAGCAAATAAATTTTATAAAATTAATTAACAATAAAAACAACTATAAATAACATCAAATCATATATTATATTTAATTTTATTCATGTGTAACTTGCGGGTAGAAGTCATTCAAACGATTGAGATTATAAAGTTATAATAGATGTATATATTATCATATAAATAAAAATAAGCAATATATTATATCAATTTAGTATACAGATTATTATATCAAATTTAACAACAACGATATTGTTATATTACAAAAAATATATATTTGTAATGACTTCAACTATATAGGTGTTTCTACGCAACGTGCAGGCATTCGCCTTGTATGTATGTATGTATGTATGTGTGTGTGTGTGTATATATATATATATATATATATATATATATATATATATATATATAGTTATATTATAAATGAAGTATTTTTTTTTTCTTTTACCACTTTCATTTGAAACTCCCAACTCTTTATATTTTAATATAATATACTTAATTTATTAACTTGAATATATTTTTAGTTGTAAACATTATCATAAATGGAAGACTTTTTGACTTATCAGTATGATATACTTAATTTGTTAACTTTGATATATTGTTAAATAAATAACCTACATTAATATATCAAATAATCTTAAAATTTAATGTAAAATATAAAACCTAAAGTAAAATATCAAATATTGTTTTTTTTAATTCAATATATATTTTTAGTAGTTAAAAGGAAACGTTAAACATAATAAATATAAAAGAACCTAAATCTATTAATTGAATTAACTAAAAAGTGTCTGAAAACTATATTTTATAATAACTAAATTTCAATTCAATAGTTTTTAAATTAATTTATAATAATAATAGTTAAAAATAATATAAACTTAGAAATTAAATTATGCTAGGTTACAAACAATTGTTGATAATTTAAATAATCATCATGATGAAATTAAAACACGAAAAAACATCATAAATGGTCTCTGTGGTTACCTAAAATCTGAAGTTCAGTTCCTGTGGTTTAAAAACCTCATAGATGGTCCCTGTGTTTTTAAAACTTTTGATGTTTGGTCATTTTTGCTAACTCCGTTAAGTTTGTCCGTTAACTGAAGGGTATTTTCGTCATTTCACCACCACAGGGACCATTTATGATGTTTTCTCGTATTTAAAAAAAAAAAGAAAAATTAAACCTAACCAACACATATTGGTTTGTTCTTCAATAATCAAGAACACACATATAAACATACCGCCACCACTACCAAGATAATCGATAAAGTAATCCTCAAGGATCAATCTTATGCCGTCTACAATGCATTGGAAGCCTTCTATCCACCCTTTCTCTTACATTGACAAACCCCCAAACCAGTGAATTTAGAATCGTTTCTGGAACAATTTTTCTTTTTTGAATCTGAAATCATTTAAAGAAGAGAATTAAATACATCCCAAACCTTCTGCAAACAAACATACAAAGAAACCAGAAAAATAAAACCTAACACTATTCATCGTTTCGAACCATTCTTTTCCCATTTTCTCCATTCTTCTTGTTTTTGTTCTTATTTATAAACCAAATACCCACCTGCATCAAACAATTCACACAGAGATGCAAACCTAAAGAGAAGAAGAAAAAAAGATTTAGGGGTTGGGAGAAAGAAGACACACAGAGATGCAAACCTAAATGGGTTATTGCTGGTTGCACATACTAGAAAACTTGGTCCTGGTGTGTTTGTAAAAAGGTCAACAAAATTGAATTCATATGAGCTGATCTGAGAAGGAGGAATTAAAGGGTGTATACCTGATGTGGTTCAAGTTGGTGGGTGCAAGAACGACTTCTGCATTACCTACATGAAAGGGTTGACGACTGCAAGTCGATTGAAGGGAAAGGGGTAGGAGACTCAGATTCATCGGAAAAATCAACATCAATTTTGGTTTCTTTGAGATCGATTCTTGGATGAGATAATAAGGTAGTGGGTTGCTGAAGGGAATGATGTTTCAACGGAGGTGTGTTCACCGGTAGTGGGGTATAATCCTCAGTAGGTTGAGTAAACGAGGGGGGACACCGACGATAAGGTTGAAGCTTTTGACTGTGAAATGTCTGGTGATTGTTGAGCATGGTGGGATTGGGTACGGTGGGGCGGTGGATTTGCCACGGTGGGTGCAGTCGGTGGTCCATGAGGAGTGGACGGTGGAAGTGTTTGATTTGGAGTTAATGATGAACAAGGATATTGAAGAGGAAATGGTGAGGTTGTTGCAAGTATGAGTGTGTATGTAAGAGAGAGAGAGAGAGAGAGAGAGAGAGAGAGAGAGAGAGAGAGAGAGAGAGAAGGAGGGAGGGAGAGAGAGAGAGAGAGAGAGAGAGAGAGAGAGAGAGAGAGAGAGAGAAAGAGAGAGAGAGACCCATTAGATATTAAATTTAATTATTATTTTCTTTTAAAAAAAACAAATTAAAAGAAAACCTCATAAAAGGTTCTTGGATAGTTAAAAGACAAAAATACCCTTCATTTAACGGTATAAAACTAACAGAGTTAGCAAAAATGACCAAATATCAAAGGTTTTGAAAACATGAGGACCATTTGTGAGGTTTTTAAACCACGATGACTAAATTTCAGATTTTGGATAACCATATGGACCATTTATGATGTTTTTTCTTAAAACAACGTCAATTTTTTTTAAATTAATAAATCATAATAATAGTAAATTAAAATAGTTGACAAATATAACTAATGTTATACACACACATAAAACAAGAGTAGAGATCATTAAATTATTTGATTTTAATAAGCGTTATTTTATCTATTGTTCAAATTAATTATAGCTTGATATAAACTAAATGTAATATTTATTATTTTATAATTAATATAAATGACATAAAATTTTCAATAACATACCAAAAGTTTTAACTTTTAAATTTCTTTCTAATAATAATTTATAAGTTTGTTAATAAAGTTAGATCAATATCAACAAATCACATATAATCTAAATTTCATATTAAAAAAATATCTTTATTTCTACTTATAAATTTATGTTTTTAATTTTTAACGTATCATACTTAATTTATTAGTTTTAATATGTTGTTTTTATATTGAAAACATGAAAATGTTGGAAACACAAGAATGATTGTGAACCAATCATTTTCTTAGGGGTAATAGGAATTGTAACATTGTATTAATGAAATAGTTAATTTAATTAAATGAGTTTCTTTTAATACTACAATCATTTATTTCAACTCTCTTATAATTGTTTATAATTGTTTGTTAATTTATATTATAAAATGTTAAATTTAAATTATAATTTCTTATAATTTAACGATAATAATTATGATTTTCTAAAATAATTAAATTAACCAATTTATTTCTTGTTTTATTAATGAAAGATAAATACAATTTGTAATAATTTTTTTCATGGTAAAAATCAGTTATTTTTTTTATTTATTTTTTATTTTTTTAAATCATATATGAATAAAACACATTAATTGAAACAATACGGTTTACTCCTAAATGAATAAATCATAATTGAATGATATAAAAAAATCTTTTATAAATAAATAGGCAACACACTAATAATCATAAATATACCAACAAATTGAATAATCAACAATTTAATAGTTTTTCTGTTTTTATTATATTTAACAACTTTTATATTAATAAATAAATTTGCTAATGATTGGTTTCATACTTTTATATAATTATAGTAATAAATGAATATGTTAAGATCGATTTCATACATTCATTAATGAATATGTGAAGATTAGGTTCATACATGATTATATCCCACAATGATTAAATCATTTCATACTAAAAAAAGTTGTAAAATCCATCCCATGTCGGCCATTATTTTCTTAAACGATCGCTATCCCATTATTTTCTTTAAATCAAATTGCAACCATAAATAACTTAACCTTTAATCTTAAATGAATACACCCGAAAAATATAAATTACATCTAAATTATATTCATAAATAAATATATAAACCTAATTATAAATGAATATATATTCTACGAAGATAACTTACTACTATCAAACAAATTAATTAAAAAATGTTTTTAATATATGTATATATGAAATGATACTTCACCATAACAATTTAAATTTTATTGTTATTCAAAAAGTAGCCAAGTAACTTAAAAAATGATATTTTTATATTGATTCACAAATACCTTAATGGAGATTGATAACCTTTTTTTTTTTTTTTTTTTTTTTTTTTTTTTTTTTTTTTTGCATATTTTTACTTCTTTATTGTCGATTTTACTTTGATGATGTTCTTCGTTGTCGATTTTCCTTTTATATTTGTTCTTGACTCCATGAGCTTCTATCTAATGTCTAACTAGTAGGAAACGCTTCAAGGAAATCTACTATTATATTTGAGATTAATTACATGTGTTATAATGTTATTATATGATAAAAGCCTATTATCGATGACTAATCCCTTTTAGAAATAGAGATACGAGAGAATGAGATTTAATACATGAACATAAAGTGAAACATTTTCTGCTTAATTCTCAAATTGAAACTATACATGACTCGAATAAACAAAAGACTCTTATTTAATGGAAGTTAGAATTATGGAATGTGGCCTAACTACTATTTTACTGGAACCATGAAATAAGGAAATAAAAAAGGAATAACTTGGAAGTATCTTGACTTCATTGCATGGGAATTGGTCAACTTAGGTAAACGTGAGCGTATCAATACTCCGTCCCTCAAAAATGACCTTGTTCTCAAGGCCGACTTAGGCCGATTTCTGGTAGCAATGGGGACATACCCGTGGACGGAAGGATCTGACCATGGAGACGGCCTTAGGTATGGCCAGAGATCCGTATCAGTTAGTCTCCGTTTAAAAAGGACCCTGTTCTCGAGGCCCAATGAGTTTGTTTGGAATTGTTTTTGGTACTTTTTGTTGGCCAAAATTGTTTTTGGTAGTTTTATGTAGGTAGTTTGCGGGGGTGGCATCATCGGTGGTAGGAATTGTTGTTGGGTTGATATGGGTGATTGCAATGGTTTTGGAGGTGGTGGTGGTAATACTGACTGTTGTGGCAGTGGTAGTTGCGATGTGGATGTCGGCAGTAGCGGCCTTGGTTGTTGATTCGGTTGTGGAAGCAGAGGTGTAGGCAGGATGATTTTGGCCATGGTTCTAGTTTGAATGCCGATGAGGGTGTTGACAATGGCCATGTGTGTGATCATTGCATGAAGACGGTGGACATCAGTGGTGCAAGTAGCGATGAGTGTGGAGATCAAACATTTCAATCTAGGGCTAGTATGTAAATTAAACAACTTAATTTAGCTTGGGCAAGGCCTTCAACATTAATGTCAACAACAAATCAACGAGGGGCCCAAAGATATTACTTTTACAGTTAAGGAAAAATGATTGAATAAACTTTGACTACATAATTATAAGTTTATAACCTTACCTCATCATGCCATACATACAACTACGTTTTATAACATCCAGTTACGAATGCTTTTACATAATACCAACACATAATAAACTTGCAAACTATGACACACACACATATATATATATATATATATATATATATATATATATATATATATATATATATATATATATATATCCGTTTGAAGAATAGAAGATATTATCGTCGTAGAATTACTCGTGATTGAATCCATGGAGTAATCTTTAAGCGTGTGTTTAACCAATACTTAAAATCTCCAGTTAAGCACTCAGGAGTATAGCATAAATGCTTTTCCATTCACTATGAATAATCTACTAAAACTCAATGACAGTCTTAAATAATTACTTACTTCCTAAAAGTATGATCGAATGTGGCTTTTCGAGTAAATTAATTACCCGGGAAGAAACACGCAAAATGAAACACAATAGTAAACTAATTGTGTATGGTATCTTACTCTTGAATATAAATAATTCTCCATTATTTAATCACCATACAATTACAAATTTATTGATTGTATACATGTTTCAGGGTAATCGACTTAACAACTAAACTTTTCATCATTTCTCATGCCTATACTCTTAGTCTGCATATCATGGTGTCCCTTGATCATTACTATCATGAATGAACAATCGTACATATATTTTCTTCACAACTAGATCTCCATCCTCAACTCTTTCTTGGATGTAGTGGATTTTCCTCATTCTATGCATTGACCTTTTGTGATCTCAAGGATCATTAGTCAAACTGACAGCACCTTCACAAAATATTTCTAATGGCGATTTAGTCTAACAACTTTCTAAAGCAATCTTCTATGCATTGACCTTCTATGAACAATCCCCTTTTTTGTAATTTTCCATGTTGAAACTTTTTAACACATTATTTTTATATGTCCTTTGAACGAATCCTATTAACATTCCGATCTATACTTTTATATTTGAAGTCCAAGTATCAGTGTCTCTTCCTCTAATTGCATCATAGCGAAACAATTCCCTAACTTTTACACTTTTCAACGTAGGGATATTGTTTCCTATGAGCAGTATTGTCATCAAGATGAAATACTAGGAAGACAACGACACTCCCATTAGATTTGACATGTACTCAAGACTCATTTGGACTTCTAGAAAGACAATACTCTTTGACAGTTCTTACTGATGCACATGTTCTTGCTACGCGATTCTTGTTTAAGTCCTTAAATAGACTTATCAACCTCACACCTCTTTTAGATAATTTATATGTTTAAATCCTGTTAAGATACATCCTTCAAAAGTTTCATGTTAAGGAAATTCGTTTAAACATCCATTTTACCATATTTTATAAAGAAGGCAACACTGGTAAAATATAACCAAATATACATTTTCTCATCTATTGTTTAGAATGTTTACTCATAATTAATTTCTTGAGTCTCAGCAAAACCATTTTCCACTATACTAGCATTGAATGTGTGTACATTCATATACATGTTAGTCTTCATATTGAAGATATAATTGGAAGCCACTATCATAAGACTAGGTTTGAAATCAACCAATTTCAAACTTGGTTATCCTTCATGGATTAAATTTCACTATCCTTAGACCCTTCTCATTAGCAACCTCAAGGCCCGCCATTGCTTCCTACTAGATATTAGCTTATCTGAACTGATTGGTGTTTTATAACTAACCAACGTGTCTCCTTCCATAGTCAGATGAAATTCATAAAACTTGGGAGGTGCACTAATTCCCACTGACTTCTTGATATGTATATGTTCTTTCTCTCAAGGAACACTCCTTTTGAGCTATAAGCACCACATTCTCATGGGTCTTTAAAACAAATATCAAATGTCGTTAGTGAATACCCGACAATGTAACACTTCTCAAATCTCGATTCAAGTTAGTTATTGGTTTCACGTCTAACGAAATACCTTACAACACCATATCTAAATGTGAGGAAATTTTCTAAGTCCACATTTCATGAGCTGTCTGCAAACCTACTTAGTCGATTACAAGTTTTTAAAGATGCTCTACTATTTCAAGTGTATATTCCCCAAAAATAGAATTGGTAGCGAAGCACAACTCATCAATATCGAACCATATAACATTTGATTCTCCTTTTAGCAACACCAGTAAATTATGGCATCGTCAGAGAAGACAATTATAGAAACCATTCCACAATCTCTAAGATGATCTAAGTACTCGCTACTAAGGCATTCTCCTGTTTCTTGTGAGTGCCAATTTCAAGAAGATATTTTAGACATAAAACAATAATCTTTATAAACTAGAATTGTCACATTTCTATTATCAACTAAAAATTGAAATTCATGTTTTGTAACAACTTGGAGTTTTCCATCATTGATTGTTACTAGGAGTTAGGATCGACTCATAATGACCAAAGCTTCCCATATTGAAGGATAATATGGAATGTTGAGTCGAAAATAAAGTAATAAAAAGGTTAAAATGGTTAGTGTATTGGGAAAATACGAGACCTAATGATCAAAAACATATAAACATCGAAAAAATCTAACTCTGATTGGAAGAGTTATGATTTTATGATGAATAGAAACCATCCACGTTCATAACACTATTGACATCAAAAATAGCAAAAAGAGAACGGTTGAGTTTCAGCTAACACTACAAAAAGGAAATTTGTAGTAAAGCATGACATAAGAACTTAGGAAGGAAGAAGGGAAAAAATGGAATTCGTATCAAGGAGATATGATTTTTATAAAATATAAACTTGTGGGTTAAAAACGATAGTTAAAATTAGAAGATGCAACCGAAAGGAAAGTTGTAGTTCTAGGAAAGTGCTACACAAATATATCAAGAGGGTAAGAAATAAAGTTCATATGAAAAAATATGAATTTTTTAAAAAGGATTTAAGGGTGCGAGTCAATGTACACGCCATGCCATTCACATATATCTGACCACTTGATTCGTCGAAGATTTGGAAACGTGGACCACCAGACGTGTGATACGTGGAAATATTTGGATGGGCCACGAAGCAAGTGCATGCCGTGTAGGAGAGTGCTCGACGCGCACCATCACTATAAATAGAGGTGCTTGCTTCCTGGTTTTTGATCTCAAACCAACCTCCAAAATATCTCTCTATACTCCAATACCCTCTCTATGGCAAGAAACTCCGGTTGTAAAGGTTCGAGTGCTTCTCGATATGCTATTAAAGTGAGTTCACAACCCCTATTTTACCGTTTTTTTTCAGGGGGGAATACATGCTTAACAAATGATTTATAAGAATATTTATATTATATATATTAAGACATTTTATAATAAGCTAGATGCCTTAGGATAATATAACTGTAGATGTTATAATGGCCAAATTCTTAGGAAACCTTAGGTACCAAGGAATTATGCTAGACAAGATTTAGGATATGCACTGTACTTAGTTGTTATACTACCCAAATATCTTGTTAAAATAACCATAATTAGGGTATATATATGACGATTTATATATATCAGATAATTATGAGATCATAAATATTATTATCAAATATATATATATATATATATATATATATATATATATATATATATATATATATATAGGGGTAATTATGATGAAGGTAAAAGAGTCAATATAAAAGACAAATACCTAAGGTCAATGGGTTAGTGAGTTGACAATTCGTCCAAATGCCTTGATTAAATTCGACATTTGCATAATACCTATAATCGTTAATCCTACGAGAGCCTGAAAGTGTCGATTATAGGGACTCATGGTAATACATTAGATCACCTTAAAGTACAATCGATTATAGGGGCTTACATTAATACATTAAAAATCGCTTTAGAGCTTATATTACCATTAGGGATGCCTAGTATGGTAATTAAAAATCGTTAGGAGCGTTAGTAATCCTTAAAAGTTAGTAAAGTAGGGTTAACAAAAGATAATCCTAATTAAATACATTAAGATTGTTGGATATCATGAAAAGATAGTAATTTGAGATTTATAAAGATACCCTAAAAAGATAGAAGGCTAGGTAAACAAATAAGAAAGGTTTTCACAAAGGAAATGTATTGTTAAAAGAAATTCGAAATAAAAACTCGTGCACTCACCAACATTATGCTAACTTTCAAAATGCATGTATTCTCAGGTTAATAGGGTTGATGCTCTATATACTCTTACACTGCTCGGTGTTTATACCAAAGGCCAGGAACGCAGGGGGGGGGGGGGAGATGATATCAGAACATGGGTTTAGCTATAGTGAATTAGTATTTTCTTAGGAATAGCGATTTAGTATTTCTTTAGGAATTACGAATATAGCTTAGGTCAAATAGCTAGATTGGATTTGTCCTTAAACCTATAACTAAATTTTTATTACCATAATAATTTCCTACTGACAGATTATGTATTGGAAAGGTAACTAGACTGGAACTGTCGCATTGGGTTGCTGGATTTCAGAACAACTATATGCCAAAGTGGTCCTGCCCACCGACTTTTCGTACTTGGCCGATCCATACATAGTCTCGAAGTATAAAACATATAATAAACCGCCTATCAGAAATAAAAATATACGGAAACATAAAACAAAAAGATAAATATCTAGGATTCAATGTGTAAAAGTTGATTCACTCCTAAGCATAGCCTGATAAACTATGTTTAGTCTTAACTGAACCAATACATCATCTAAATTGGGATAGACAAATGAAACAAAAAAACCATAAATATGTAAATACAATCCCAAACCAAATAAAATATGTCATAATACATCATAAAGTATCAAAAAACAAAATAAAACTCACAAATCTACTCCCCACTACCCTCCGACTC